CTTTCTCAACGAGTCTGGGTAGGACCTGACTTCCTTCTAACTGATGCAATATGGCAAAAGTGATGGGATATCACTCCCATAATTACATTATATTGTATAAGACTCTGTCTTGTGAGCAGGTTTACTCTAAAATCTTTCTCTCTGTTGCTGGCTTCGAGGAAGCAAGCTGCCACGAATCCTACAACCACAAAGAAATAAATTCTGCCAGCAATATGAGTGAGCTTGGAGGTGGTCTCTTCCGCAATTGACCCTCCAGGTAAGCACTCAGCTCTTCCCAACACCTTGATTGAAAACTTGCGGAGGACCCGGCTAAGCCATGCTTGAGCTCCTGATGCACAGAAACTGTGAGATAATAAATGTGTATTGTTTTAAGCCAGTCAGTTCATGGCAATTTTTACACAGCAATAGAAAAGTAATACAGAAGGACTTCGTCGTCCTTATCATATTGATATTGGACTTACTCAGCTCTTCCCTTCCCATCACTATGCTCAAAACTCCATGGACAGGTTGGTCTCATGACGATGTATAATGAACTTTGTTTTATTCAATCAGTTCCAGTATCACCATTAATAATTACTCAATAGATGTTGAAACTCACTTTGATTGTTTTAGATGAACACCCCCAAGACTCCCATTTCACATTTCAGTTTAATTGTGTCTCTGTACTATTTAGAGAGCTGATAAAAACTTACTAAAGCCACAGAGCACAAATTTACACATGAACATGGTCTTTCACAATCCAGTCAGTCCTCAAACATGAATCACTAATCAAGGCATATAGCACAGAAAGCATGGCACAATCATTTCATTGTTCTTATTTTTTCTTGCATTATCTTTCTATCAAAGGTATGAAACTGGCAAGTCTGACCATTTTTTTTTCATGTTCTCTTTCCTGGGTCCCAGTGTCTGAACTGGGAAGACACCTCCAGTGAAAGGAACCCAGTAGTTTTTATGTAAATTTAGTGTAAGAATGGAAACAAGTGGAAGTTAATTAACAGCACGAGAAAGTGACAACTGTCATCAGGAGTAAAACCATCCATCAAAAACTATTACATGTGAATGTCTTCGCCATAAGTAAGTTAGAACGGAGCTGAATCAATCCTTGACATAGCACAGAAAACGTTTTCCATTATCCTCTTACAATCTTTTGCACAGGTACTCTGTCTTTGTAGGCTCAAATTTTAAGAAATACCTTCCTGGTCACCTTTTAAAATCCAGAACTGTGGTACATGCCAGCTTCCAGTTAAAAGTATTCACAATTTCTTTCCTTACTAAAAACAAACAAACACACACCTCACTGATAAGAACTCTTAATACTTGGCTTTGGAGGGCTGTAAAGTAGAAAACACAGTCACTTAACACCATTGTATATTTTTTTCAATTAAAAAAAATAACTCTTTCTCAGAAAAAAACTTATGAAACAAAATAAAAGCATTGAAAAAGTTTTAATTCACCAGAGCCTATCACTGAAACATTATAATTCTATTTTTTTCTATCACATTTTTATTACTTTATAATCAGAAGGAAAACAAGTGAAGTTTTCATCTAGGTAAAAACTGAAAATTTTTGTCAGTATAATATCCCATGTGAGAAAAGAACACTGTTAACCGTGGCTCTGGTGCTAAGTTATTCATTTGGACTTGGTAAGCCAGTTAACTTTCCTGAGTTGCCTCAAATGTGGAACTAGATGATTTAAGTACCAAGGGTCTTTCCTCCCTATTTGAACAGTGTATGATAGTGAGGCATGAAGTTTCAAGACTTTCTAGGTCATTCTAGACTGATGACTGTGGCAACCTGGTTTTTCAATCTCTGAATTCCCACATAAAATTGACAAGCATCCACACAGCAGAACCAAATGCTTGGAGGAGAGGTATCCCCTTGACTAACAAAACACAAGCAGGTAGACACAAACCACCACCATCCACAAGATCTGAATGGTGTCTGTGTGGGCAGAAGCTGAGGGAAGCAACAAGGATGATGGACCTAAGAACCAGAAAACCCCCAAATGACCAATAAGTTTACCCAGGAAGTTGTGGAGGATCAATTGGAGAACAGCCATTAAAACCAGGAAGTGTTTTGCCTGAGCCAAAAGTGAGTGGGCAAGGGGCTCACAGTAAGATCTGAAGGGGCTAAAGAAACTAATTTTTATGAACTTTCAAGATTGGCCCGAGGAATCCCACCAGGAGGAAAAACTGCTGGGTGTAGGGTCAAAATTGAACAAGATAGGGTAACAGAGACAAAGATAAGAATAGATCTAAGTCAAAGTAGGACAGGAGAACGGAGCCAGGAAGTGTCAGAAAGCAGACTGCCATATTTTTTACTGCATGACAACAGAAGACTAAGCTCTATGAACTTAAAAAAGCCATCTTAAACCCTACCTCCTAAAAGTTCAAGGAAATTATTTTTCATATAAAAAAGAAAAACAGGAAAATATTGAGGTCAAGTTCCATACAAAGTTATAAGAAGAAAAAAAAAAGCAGAATAATACCCCTATAAACAATTAAAGCATGCCACAAAAAAGAAGGGGGGGGGGAGAGGGGACAGAGGCAGGAGCTGAAAACAATAGCTTACTATTTCAAAATAAGTTAAAAGGCTTTCAGGAAATGAAATGACATAAGACACAAAAGAACATAATTCAGGAGTAGAAAAACTCAGAAGTAAGGTAATAGAACACAGAAAAAAATAAAAATAAAATAAAAATGCATTTCAGAAATAAAGACTAAACCAGGAGGCACACAAGAGGGGATAAACACAGTATATGCCTAAAGAGAAACAGAAGGTGGAGAACAGGAAGAACAAAGTAAAAAGGAGGGATATAAAGGATTTGAAATAGTGACAGATATTGAAGACAGGCAAAGAAAATCTAATAGACCAATAGTTAAGTATCCTTGAAGAAAAATCAAAGCATGGGAGAAGAATTAATATTAAACACTAGAATTTAAAACATTTTAATTTCCCTGAAATTAAAAAAAAATGATTTAAAAATATAATCAAAAGAATACACAGCAAACCTGAGAATATCAAACCAGAATGGCTAAGATTAAGAGTTACTCTAGAAAAATTACTGGACTTAAAAAAAAAATAACAAAAAAGGAAAAAAATTGCTATGGATGTCTACAATAAGTTAGTGTCTTATGAGGGAAAAGAAAGTTGTATTATTATAAGACTTTGACAGCAGCACTCTGCCAAAAGAGAATAAAGAAACATGTTCACGTAAAGAAAGCTGAGCCAAGGGTTTTATATCCAGCAAAAATGCCTTTCAAGTATGAAGGGAACAGACACATTGTTATTAACAAGCAAGAACTTGGTAAAGATTATTCCCATGGGTCCTCCCTGAGGAATCTACTAGAAAATATATGTTTTAGGCAAAACAAGCAAACAAACAAACAAAACCAGAAGAGGGGCGTTGACATAAGGCATAAGGACCACAGTAAACACTAAACATATAGTTACTTGTTGACTAAATAGAGATTAAAAGAGAGTATAAGACGCAATGGCCATATGGTCAGGCAGTGTGAATATAGTACAACTGCAAAAAAAATTGGGCGAATGAGGAGAGCATAAAGTGATAAAAATTTTAAAAGATTCTTCTCAGTAACTAATATTTGTTATGATAGTGTTAACATTATTCTGAGACTGTATGTATATAATATGGGATGAAACAAATGAGTAATTATGAAATAATTCTAATCCAATCATCCTCTGAAACCTTAAGAACAAGGATTCTTAGTATGAAAAGAAAGAAGGTGCAGATAAAATACAGAAGAAGCTAAGTAGAGTACCCTGTATGAATTTAAATAGGAGCAATTAGTATAAGCTTCTAAGGTATTTTGTCTTAAAATTTAAACATACATATGTAGATCAATAAATACATAAATCATTTCTTGGCTCTGTCTATAAAAGAGGACTAAAGACAATGGCCAACCTAGAAGTAATAAGCACCCTTGGCACCTAGACTGTGGTCTTGAAATACCAAATTCTGCTGACTGAAACCAGGGCTAAGTGAAGAATGGTTAATTCCAGGTTTGGGGCAAAATATGTACTAAATGAACCTGAAATAGCTATTAGGCTCATGCCAAGACTCAGAAGCCAACTTGAAGGTGCTCTTACTGATCAAAGATAACTCTAATTTGATTTTCTACAAGGAAAATAATTACAATAGGTTGAAGTCAAAACATATTTAAATCCATAAATTCATAACAATATTAAAAAAATAATTGGGTACTTTTACAGAATTATGGGTAATCAATTCATTATCTTGAAACATGTTAAATGGAAAGAACAAAACATTTATTCTGCTTTTTGTTTATGAACTATACCATTGTTTCAACAAATCATAGAAGGCAGCTGTTGTCTCTTAAAAGCAATTAATTAATAACTAAGAAAGAATAACTGAAAAAGAAATGCAAGAACTAATGATTTGTAAGTCCTACTGAATCAATCAACTTAGGCACTGAGTATCAATAGCTGCTAACATCGCAGAAATTGAGACAACCAGACCTTCTGTGCCTCCCTCTGAGAAAACAAATACCCTCTACAGTCTTGCCCAAGGGACTGGACATGAATCTGACAAAGCCCCTGGACCCATCTGCCAATTTGCAGCAAATACAGGGACAGAGGCACAGGGGAACGTGCAGAACTGCACGTGAAGTGTGCAATCAGCAACATCCAGACTGTGGGAAACTCTAGAAGGCAAGCAGCCAGGTTTAAACAGATTAATTATAAAACCACCAAAGAATAGAGTAAAAACCTGTAGATTAAGAGATTCAAGGGAAACACGTGATTTTTAAATGGACAAGACTGAAACTCTAGTGTCTAAGGACATAAAAAACATATGTCATGACTTTTCTGACCACCCAATATTTCTTGACCCGGGCTGTGGTTATGAGAATGTCTGCTCATTAAGCTATAATTTGTTTTGTGGGAATTTCTGTATTTTATCTTAAAAACAAAACAAAACAAAAACCCCCACAAAACCCAAAACTTTCCATTTCCCTTACCTGTGCCTTGGCCAATTTCTTCTCCAGAAGGTCCCGTTCCAGCTCCGTTTGCTGTAGACGTTTATTAAGCTCCACTATATCTCCCTTTAGTGATGCCAGGGCTGCCAAGTGGAGCTGCAGCGACAGAGAAAGGAGCACAAGGTTAGACCCTTCGGCAGAAACTCATTTCCTTCCTTTCCTTCCCTGTAATTAGTGTGATCAAATAAAAAATGCATCATCTAAAATGAACACTCTGGGTGCTATTAATCTCAGGGGAATACGGACATCAATCTGGTGTCTTACAGGAAGCTGGGTTATATGGTCACCCTAAATGTAACGGGGCAAAAACTGTTGTGTGAGGGCAGTGGGACCTAATTTTGGATGATTAAATCAGGATAGTGAGCAAAGCTCCTCCTTCTAAGGGGTTTCCCTGGGTTACTCAGCAAGGATGATATGAAGAACTGGTGTGGGGCTGCCTGGTTCTCAACATAAGAAGGAAGGATCAGGCCGAATCAAATTAGCTTTTACCTTCGGAAAATAGTAAAGTTGAATAGGGGCATTTAGTTGTTTGCAATTCTATCACCCACATTGCTGCATGGACAAGAGACACACCAAGGGGCTACATATTAAGAAGAAATGGGAGAGCTCATTTCTTTAGATGGCCTCCTCTTAAACTCATCCCATTTATTTTCTTGCCAGTTTATCCTTCCTCATTGTCCCCAGGCCCCCACCCCCCGCCAGACAGGCTAGATTGACCCAATGCTTCTGTGCTAACAGGCCCTCTCATAGGAGCAGAACCAGAACTCTGATAAACTAGGCTTTGAAAAGACCAGCCAAGAATCTATCCAGTGGTTTTCCCTGGCCAATTCTCTCAGGTTAACTGGAGCTAGAAAGAATGTTCTCCAACAGATTAACAAGGGGTATGATGCACTTCCAGGATCTCAACTGAGATCTGGCACACTGAGCTTGGGTTGCATGCAGATACCTACCACACACATGCCTTTTGGGGCTTTTCAGGCTGAGGGTGGGACTATCTCTAAGATCCTTTTAACACCCTGATCCCAGAGCAATGCCACATTTCAAACTTCTTTGCCCTCTGAGTCACTACTTCTTATCTGTCTTCACTGTCAATTCTAGGTGGAGCTCAGGCCATTCCCTAGCTGAATTCCACATTATGTTTGGGTGACTGACTAGAATCAGAAGTAACCCTCCCTCTTTAGATGTTTTTCTTGTAACTTCTGACAAGAGGGATTTAAAGTAAGGAGTGAGCAAATAAATGTGATCTTTAAAAATGGACACAGTGCAGTGGTACATAATTCAACTTTGAAGACTTTAATTTCAGGTTTCAAAATTAAGCTAGCCCCATCCATATTGCATGCTGGCTGGTAGGCTTGGCGGGGAGAAGGAGAAATAGAGCAGGGACTGCGGTTTCAAACAGTTGTTTATGTTAGACTATAACAGCAGTGAAAGTGACTTCACTTAATTGCATCGGGGCTGCAAACCAACAGATCAATAGCTGATTTGAAATCAGGAATGCCTGAAATTTAAAAAAGGAAATGTCAGGCAATCTGGTGGTATTTGCCTTCTCGTGTAGGGCTAGGGCAGCTCAGAAAAGGTCACTTTGGGCTTCAGACACAAGGTTTTGTGTGATGAATTCTCAGCACAAATACCACAGTGGTCCCATTGTACAATCATTTTGAGGCTGTTTTGCTTCCAGTATGGTGGAGAGGGACACAAATTCACTCCCTTAGCAGCTGGGGTTACCCCGCCACCTCGGAACTGTCAATCTGAGGGTTTTCCTTCAGTGCCAGACACTGTGGACTGTTATCGTGTTATGTGAAGTCTTGGGAGAAGAGTCTCCACCTCATTTCTGGCAAGAAGGATAAAAATACCTGGAGAGCTGAAATGTTCTTTAAGAAATAAAGGAGTGGGAAGAAATAAAGGACTCCAACTGGGTGAGCCTTGTTTCCTCTCACAAGATCTCCCCTCCTACTTCTGGGGAAAAGGGCTGCCTGAGGGGTTGGGGGGAAAGCTGTGAGAGGGGGTTGTATGTGCCACACTGATTTCATGAACTGGACCAGATGGGAGATGCTAGTTATTTCCATCATAGGGCACAGCAGAGGGGGTCTGGGATGGGTCTCTGCCATTGGAGGGAGCACTGGGCTTGGAGTTGATAACACCTTCTGACCCACCAGCTCTCCAGATTGCCAGAGAGACCCATAGGATACGCATTTGAGGCAAGTCCCTTTGCTTCTCTGGGTGGAAGGTGCTTATCCACAAAATGAGAATAGACCAGTTCTTCTCTAACCTTCCTTAGGTCACAGATTCCTTAAGAATCTTATAAGTATGATGAACCTTTCTCCTAAACAAGAGTATAAATTTGGGGTTCATACATGTGTTCCACCTAATTATGGTGATAACACACTCTGGAGTCTATCCATGAAACCTAAATTAAGAAACATCTAAACTACATGCTAGTACTGTGATCCCACATAAGTTTTGTAGACTGTCTCATGTGTCATAATCACAGATGTTGGAATGGAGAAAAGGTCCCTGGTATCTGACATCTTCCACTTCCATATTTGCAGGTGAGGATCTGAAACCCAGAGATTAACTCCTTTACTCAAGGTCCTATGGACAGCTTAGCATGAGAACCAAGGCCACCAGTGTCTTTTTCTCACTGTAAGATGTTGCATATGATAGTAATTTTCAGTTTTTTATGTGAATGAAATTTTTACTTAAAATATTTCCCTCTGATTATAAAAGTAATGAAAATGTAACAGAAAAATTAACCAGAAAGATAGCATTCTAACATTTTAATGTGGCCTCTGAGTGGTTTTAAACTTTTTGGGATAGTTTTTGTTTAATACTTTTTTTTTTTAAAGAGAAACAGGCTTTTGTATTAAAGAAACAAGAGTTGTGAGTGTGTATTCTGCATATGTAGGTGATAGCATAAAAACTATAAAGGGTTATTTTTTTCTTCCCTGCTGCATCTTCTGATAGAAGGTAAAACGTACATATGAAGTAGAATATACACATGTTCTTTAATGGTACTGACAATTACTCAGCAGGAGCTTTAACTACAAAAGGTGAGAATTGGAGTGGAGAAAAATATTGCCCACAAGTCACAAACCTGTTGCTTAGAATTGGGCTGATAGGTCCTCCCATACCATGAGGTGACTGAACATGAGATTACTGAGCACAAGATAAGTTAAGTTTCTACCACCAGGAGTACTGGACACTCCCTGTGAACTTCAGATCAGTAGCTCTCCTTGTCCCACCTTGTCAATAACTAACTCAGTAATAAAAAGCTGATTTGACCTCTCTTCTTTCTGGTAGAGCTCATTATGGTAGAGCTGGTGGTATTCCTCAAAATTCAAAAGCTAGAGAGTTTGTGAGCAACGTTACAAGTCATGTGACAAAGCCTGTGTAGTGTCCAGGCAAGCATTAAAAAACAGGAAGTATAGATCTGGTCAATACAATGCAATAGATAAACCTGTGCTTACCTCCTCTCATGATCACATCAAAAATATAACTAAAGTACAGAACAACCATCATTGAGAATTGCCGAAGTCTAGCTGAACTGAAGCCCTACAACTAAGGACATATGAAAGAAGCCATCTTGAGAATGGCAGGAGGGGCAGAGACGCAGAACAGGGGATCCCCCACACAATAGCATGTGACTATTAAAACTTGCAAAGGTCCTTCGCCCTCTCCCCAGGAGCAAGGGGTCCCAACGCCATACCAGCTGCCCCAGTCCAGGGCTCCGGTGCCAGGGAGAGAAGTCCCCATAACTTCTGGTTGTGAAAACCAGCAGAGATTGTGACTGAGTGAGACGGAGGGCAGCTGTAGTCCCAGGTGCTCCTTTTAAAGGGACTGCGCACAGACTCGCTGACCAACTCACTAGCTCTGAGCTTCAGAGCTGGGACAGCAGATCAAAATGTGCAAGGGAGGAACTGAAGTGTCTGGTTTCAGGAAGAGGGCTGGAAGGACAGCTTTCTCCTGGACAGTGGAACTGGTGGAAGCCATTGTTTCTTTAATGAGTCCCTCGCCCAGTGTGCAGATTCAGGCAGCCTCCATATCTGAGTCTCTATAAACCTAGCTAACACTATTCATTCACCCTGCCCTGGTGATTGAGACCCTACCCCACCCAACTTGCGGGCCCAACAAACAGCCTGTCTTGGCTCATGCAGTGGACTTTCCAAAAATTTCTCAAAGGTTCACAAAACCCAAATAAGCAACATCTGGCTTTGGTGTGTCCCATACTTCTGGCTGAGCAGCCCTAAGCCCAGTGACGCTAGTGACAGCCAGTCTTGGTTTGTGATTTGGCCTCTCAAGGCCCTCCAAGCACAGCACAGATGATGGATATCTGTAGATTGCTTTGTGGCTCATGCCAGGTGGCCCTGGGCAGGGCAGAGGCAGCAGCTGAGCTTGGCCTGCAGTGGGTACCTGGCACGCCCAGTGGCCAGCTTCAGACCTAGCTGGAACATCACCAGCCCACCTCCAAGGGTGACACATCCAAAGGGCAGACTAGACTGCGCAGGCACCAGAGCCCTGCCGAAGTGAGTCCTGCTCCATAGTGAGCCCCTGCACTACAACTCCTCCATCTAGTCCTAGCCAGTCCTCACAACCAATCAGCCTGAGGGTAAATCCCTTCCACAGATGTGCAAACAGCAACCAAGGTTCAACTACAACAGGAGGGCATACACAACCCACACAAGAGACACCCTGGAGCACTGGCTCTGGTGACCAGGGAGAGACTGTGCCACTGGGCCCCACTGTACACCTACTACATAAGGACACTCTACTAAGACCAGGCGACATAGCAGCTATATCTAATACATAAAAACAAACACAGCAAGGTAGCTAAAATGGAGAGACAAAGAAACGTCCCAAATAAAAGAACAGAACAAAGCTCTGGAAAAAGAACTAAACAAGATGGAGATAAGCAATGTACCAGACACAAAGTTCAAAAACTGGTTATACAGATGCTTAATGATCTCAAGGAGGAATTCAACAAAGTGATGGGAAGCATAAAAATGAAGACAGAAAACATAAAAAAGAACCAGTCAGAAATAGACTACAATAACTGAAATGAAGACTACATTACAGGGAATCAACAGACTAGAGGAAGC